CCTTGCCCTGGTTGAACCTCATCAGGTTCCTCTCTGCCCAGCTCTCCAGCCTGGCCAGGGCTCGCTGGATCCAGCACAGCCTGCCGGTGCATCCACCCCTCCTCTCAGTTTGGTGCCATCAGCAAACTGGCTGAGGGTACGCTCTAACTCTTCATCCAGGTCATTGATGAAGAAGTTGAACAAGACTGGATCGTTGGTCAAAGGGTTGAGAACATCCTGGCCGAGGCTTGATCTCAACAGCACCTCATCAGCTTCATCCACTTTTGAGATCCCCTGCTTAATTTAAAACATCTTTTGCCGTGTTCTTGTGTCATTCTCGTTTATTTAACCCAAACGCTGGGTGATGCCAAGGGAAATGTCACGTGCGGCAGCATCCCAGAGCTTGTGTCACCAAAACAAAGCGGCTTCGACTGTGTTTGCCGCCTGCGAGCTGGCGTCAGCGTCCCGCACCCCTTCCTCACGGCTCTGCCCCTCTCAGCCTTGGGCTGGACGTGCTGCGATCCCGCCAGGTGATGTTACCGGAGAATCAACAGGGGATGGCGGGCGAGCTGGAGAGTCGACCCCTGAAGGGTTTGGGGACCAGTTGTCAGGGTAACGGGGGAAAAATCTTGACTTTGGTAGTTGCAGTTGAAAAGCATCAGTGGCTGTTGGAAGAGAAAACCTTTCTGTGCTGCCACCACCCAGAGAGCGAGCGCCGATGGAGAGCAGCGACGTTCACTGCATCCCCCCGAGCCTTCCCCGATCGGTGACCGACAGTCGTCAGCTTTCTGCGTGGGGGACTTCCCTTCCGGACCAGCTTCTCATCTCGAACACCGAAGAACAAAGAAAGGGCGTCGTGAAGCCAAACCTCTCGAACCACGGGAATTATTTGGGCTTCATTTGCTTCTCCCTTGGCAGCTTTTCGCCGTCCTGCGTCTCTCTCCGTTCCAGGGCTGCGCGTGGGTCCGCGCGTGTTTCGCTTGCGGGGCTCTACTTCCCCTTCTCTCCTTTCAGCTTCGTGAAACCCAGGTTTTGAAGCACCAACAGACCCAACTGATGCTTTTTTCCTGTGCATGACCAAGTCGTGATTACCTGTAGCTGAGATTTTTGTGATTTCTTATTTTTTTTAGCCACTGTCCTGAATCTTCCAGTCCTGTGTCCAGGGAGAAGCTCTCCTTGGTTAGAAAATTACTGACCGTCACCTTTCTCAGTGTCTCTTTGAAGGAGAAGCGACAAGGTCGCTCGTAGAGAAGATCTTTTTACCTACACGGCGTAGAAACTCAGCTCTCCTTTCCTCTGCCGCGGCCCTACAGCGTACACAGCGCGTGGGTGCTGAGCTGGTGCCCCTCCAGCTCCGGGAGCAGTGACCAGCTCGCCGAAGGGGGCCGTAGGTTCATCCAGAAACCCTGTGTCACGCACCCAGTGCTTCTCTGTTGTGATTTACTGCATAGAATATTAATAGAGTGGAATAATACAGCAGGAGAATAGAATAATATATTCACTTTATATTTACTATCTGGAATATCTATTTGGGGACCTGCAAGATCATTTTCCTTTTCCCGCCTGCTGCCAGTTCTTACGGTGCAGTAGATAATAACAAATACATATATATATAAAAGTAATAATAGCACATAGCAATAAAAAAAGCACATAATAACTGATTTGGGGTTAAAAGGCTGAAAACCAGGTGTGATGCTGGCTGGAAAGCTTTGCTGCAAAAACCCCACGGGTTTCTAGGGGAAATCTCAAGGTGTGAGGTCGGAGGTGAAAGGTGTCGGCTTTGCCTGAGCGATGCAGAGCTGCTTCACGGTCCCAGGAGGACCTCCGTGATCCCAGGAGCACCCCCACTATCCCAGCAGGACCCACAAGATCCCAGCAGGACCCTCACGATCCCAGCCACAACCCCCGGGATCCCAGCAGGATCATGAGATCCCAGGAGGACCCCGCAATCCCAGCAAGACCACAAGATCCCAGCCAGGACCCGTGGGATCCCAGCATGACCCGTGGGATCCCAGCAGGACCCCTGCCATCCCAGGAGGACCATGGGATTCTAGCAGGACCCCTGGGATCCCAGGAGGACCATGGGATCCCAGCATGACCCGCAGGATCCCAGCAGGACCCGCGGGGTCACATCAGGACCATGAGATCCCAGCAGGACCGTGGGAATCCCAGCACGACCCCCGCGATCCCAGCAGGATCCCCACCGTCCCAGCAGACCAGAGGATCCCCAGCCAGAACCATGGGATCTCAGCCAGGACCACTTCCATCCCAGCAGGACCCCCAGGATCCCAGGAGGACCCCCACGATCCCAGCAGGACCACCAGGATCCCAGCCAGGACCATGGGATCCCAGCAGGACCCCCAGGATCCCAGCAGGACTTGCGGGATCCCAGCATGACCCCAGAGATCCCAGGAGGACCCCCAGGATCCCAGCAGGACCCCTGCCATCCCAGCCAGGACCGTGGGATCCCAGCAGGACCCCCGGGATCCCAGCAGGACCCCGGCAGTCCCTCCAGCTGTCGTTTTGCAGGGAGAACGGGATGAAAACTCCCGATTTTATTCCCTTGCCAGGTCGCCGTTTCGTTTTTAGCGGCAGCAAGCTCGCCGGCGGTCGCGGTCGAGCGTCTCTTGACACGCGACATCGTTTAGTGGGGTTGCAGTAATTTTGGCAATAATTCCAATCGTTTTGGGGCGGGATTCTCGGAAGAGGGGTTGGACAGCCCGCAAGGCAGGGCGCCTGGCTAACGTGTGGCGCTCGGGGGAGTCTCCTTGCTGAGAGCGCGGTGAAAGAGCAGCCAAAATCCGGTCGGTGCAGCCGGGGAGGGGAGCACGGGCGCAGACCCAGCGGTGGGTTCTCTCTCTCCTCCGGGTGCCCGTAAGGAATATTCCCCATGTTTTAAAAAATACCGAGCTCTCCGCTTGCCGAAGAGAGAAATCTGGTGATCGCTAACAAGGGGACGCTGGCTGTCTGACGGAAGGTGCTCCTGCGGTACGTGCTGCTCCCAAACCTTCTCTGGATTGATCTCTGTCTCGAAGGTCTGCTGGAAGCGTGGTGGCGTGTCCCAGCGTCACCCAAGCTTTGTGGCATTCCCCTTCGGAGGGCGTTTCTCCGTGCCGGAAAGTTCGGAATCCTACAATCATTGCGGTTGGCAAAGACCTCAAAGATCATCAAGTCCAACCGTCAGCCCAACACCGCCGTGCCGGCTAAACCACAGCCTGAAAAGAAGCTTGGGGAGAGCTTTGCCCTGCAAAGCAGCAGCAGCTCCAGCAAGGAGGTGACATCCCCAGCGCCGAGGACAGCCCCGACGATTCCAACCTCGTGTCCCAACCTCTACGGTTGCTCCGTGTTGGAAATCGCTTAACGAGGACCTCGCTCTGCAGCCGTCGGGAGAGATTTCCACCGGACAGCGGGACCTGCGATGACTGAAGCCGTTGAGAATTAAGAAAGTCGTGTTGGTAATGGAGCACAAAATTGCTCCCGAAGGAAGAGGTGCCCAGTTTTGGCTCCAAAATGATGAAAATCAAGAACCATTGCCTAGGAAAAGGGGGAGGCAAGGAAAGACGCGCTCGAGTCCTTGCCCTGCCTGTGAGAGATCTTGCATGAAGGGACGGGGAGGAGAGGAGGACGCCTTTGGCCTGAGCTCGGTCTTTTTCCGGAGGGGTTTTGCCACAGGTAGGTATGGAGCTTCGTCACCGTTTCGCCTAGCGAGCCCTAAAAATAATCCTCGGGAAGGAAAACGTGGCGAGTGTTTGTCCCCGACCGGTTGCTCAGGAGCGGGAGCCGACAGATATTAATTATCCAATGAGGAAAGTTCTTCAGATGGTTTTATTACGAAATGTGAATTGCTTTTTCCCGTTAAAACAACCAAATTTGAAGGGAGAAGCAACTCTTTCTTGCTTTTCTCTTGGCAGTGACATCCAAACCAGGATCGTCCGCGGTACCGAACGCAACCCAGGCATCCTCCCCGGCTCAGACGCAGGCGCCGCAGCAGCCCCTCCCGTCCGCGCAGACGACGCATTCCTTCCCTTCCGTCACCCCCGACCTCATCGTTCAGACCCCGGTAATGACGATGGTGCCTCCGCAACCTCCTGTGCCGCCTCCGCCTGCTCCTCAGGCCCCCGCGCTGCCGGCCCCGGCTCCCCAGCCCATCCAGGCCCACCCTCCCGTTATCCCGACACCCGCCCAGCCCGTGAAGGTGAGTGATTCCCTAATTATCTTAACGCGATGGCTTAAATGATCTTCACGGTGTCGAAATGGTGCGGTCGGTCAAGCGGTCGCCCTTTGCTTTGCCGGTCGAGTCTTATTTGAAGGTGAACAGCAGCAGTTTGGTCAAAAATTTCATGGTTTGGGAAACGCGAGGAGCCTACGGTGATCCTCGCTGACACCAGTTAAAATCAGACGTGATGAATTCCACCCAGGTTTGCGTGGAAACCCTGTTCGTTCTCTTCAAACCTTCCTTCCTTGGGTTTTCTGTGACTCGGGAAGAAAATCCTGACTTGCTGCAGTGACTCAGGCCCTTGACCTTTGCTGGCACAACAGAGATAATCCGCGTGGGTTTCCGTAGAGCTCGGTACAGTCCGACAACGGCTGAATATTTCTGGAAGGGCTTCCAATGTCCTTCTCGTAGCGTTGCCGTGAGGCTCGAGCCCCTAGCGATAGCGAATCCGCGTCAACGCTACAAGAAACCCAACGGTTGGTGCCGAAAGTTGTGATGCTGAGAGTAATCTTGGTTAATTTGCTCGGTTATAGACAAAAAAAGGGGTGAAGAGGAAAGCAGACACCACGACACCGACGACCATCGACCCAATTCATGAATCATCATCGCTTCCCGCCGAGCCCAAGTCCACCAAGCTGGGTCCGCGTCGGGAAAGCAGCCGCCCGGTGAAGCCTCCAAAGAAGGACGTTCCAGACTCTCAACAACACGTGGTAGAAAAGAGTAGCAAGATATCCGAGCAGTTAAAATACTGCAGCGGGATCATCAAAGAGATGTTCGCCAAGAAACACGCTGCCTACGCCTGGCCCTTCTACAAACCTGTGGACGTGGAAGCGCTGGGACTGCACGATTATTGCGATATCATTAAACATCCCATGGATCTGAGCACAATCAAAGTAAGCTCAGGTTTAGAGGAGGGCGGGGAGGGGGAGGTCGGGGTCTGAGCAGAATTAAAAAAAAAGGTCGTTTCCTCCCCGCGCATGCGCACCAGGCGTCTGCAGACGTCTGCCAGATTGATTTTGGCCGTCGGTTTCTGGTACGTTCGGTCTCTCTTCTTCTATCGTGGCGTTTGGGAAAAGCAAACAAGCTGGCACCCTTCCAGAAGGGCTCCTGGGAAATGCTCGCACGGGGGCTTTTTTATAGAAAATTTCCATTACTGTATAAATCTCTCTTTTAGCCCAGGAGATGGCCCCAGAGAGCAGAAATCGCAGGAAGAAGGGAATTGGGTTGAAACCAACCCCACTTTCAATTGTTTTTTAAAAATAAAGGCCCATCTTTCTGAAGCCGTCTGTCCAAGTCAGTCTTAAGCCCAGGTACTTCCCTCGAGTTTAAAATCGCTTCGTTTTAAAGAGCGTCTGCAAATTCCTCTGCATTTCCCCTGGAAATATCAATTCGTTATTGGAGTCGTTTAATTTTAAACAGCGACTGCAGAGTCAGCCGCGTTTCCCCTTGGAGTGTTGATTCACAGTTCAGCATCAGTAACTTTTTAGCTGGGAAACCTTAATTCCTTATTTAGAAGTCTTTAACTTTGAGTGATCCAGCATCAATTCGTAATTTAGAAGTCGAATTTTAGTTAGGAAACTGTAATTCCTTGTTCAGAAGTCTTGAACTTTTTAGTTACCAAACCTTAATTCCTTGTTGAGGGGCCTTTGAAGTTCACAGCTCCGCGGTGAGCTCCCGTGTGGGCAGTTGAAGCTCAGCCCTGACTCCTTCGCCCGCTGTGGGTCCGCGTTGTAAACCCGGACGAGGGAATTTCCCCTTCCCGCGGCCCGCTCCTTGCCGAGGTTACACCAGGCCTGAAGCCAACGAGGATCGCGGCTCTTCCTTCGTCGCGGCGTTTCAGACCCGTAGGATCTCGGTGGGCCAAACCTTGGGGACGCCGAATGAAATTCTTGGCTTTGGCTTTCTCCTCTCTCCTCCAGACTGGCTGGTGGTGGGCGTTGGGTCTTGCACGTCCGTTGCTGCCTGTACATCTGGCTGCCCAACTGTCTGGCAGGGCTGCGGGGCTGAGGTCACCCTTGGCAGATGTTGCCGGGCCAGCTGTTGAGCGTTCTCTGTCTTCCAGTTGTCCAACTCAACCCCGCTTTCCCAGGGAGGGAGAAGGAGGCGTGAAGCTTCTCTTGGCTCAGCTGGCGGTGCCACAGCTGGGTGCGGCGTTTGGAGGGGTGAGGGGTCATCTCAAGGCTGTCTCCATGCAGATCAGTCCTCCTAGCTCTCTGCGTAGGCTTAGGGCAGAAGCAGGTAGCTGTAGAGCAGGTCAGTGTCCTCCTAGGGTGGAGGTCCAAGCTCTAGAGTCACCAGCTTGGTTCTTGGAGGAAGGCTGAATGATGGAAAGGAGGTGAGATGGTTGGATCTTATCCCCTGCGTCCACAAAGCCTATCATCATCTTCCATCATTGGGTGAAGGACCATTGTGGTGTCCTCTGTCCTTCCAACCGGGCTACACTGTGAAGACAACTCTTGAGGTCTTCCTTCTAGGGGAACGATCTGAGCAAAGCTCACCATATTCTTCCACAAACGTGTGATCCTGGGCACGCAGGGAGGTTCAGCCCTTCTTGTTGAGGTCAGGCAGACCCAAGGTGCGTACTTACAGCCTTCAACACCACATCCCTGGTCCGGTTCTTCATCTGAACCACATAGACAGTGAGAAGGTGGCTCGGCAAGCGCGTCGTCCTCTTCTGAGCTTCACTGAGGATGCCTGTAGTCAGCTCTAATTTTTTAGAAACCAGCTGCGGTCGTTCTTTTGACCAGAACTGGTGGTTCTTTTGACCAAAGTTGGTCCTTCTTTTGACCAAAATTGCTCCTTTTGACCAAAATTAGTTGTTCCACCGTAAGGAGAAAATGGGTGCGTTAAATCCATGGGTGCCACAGAGCCGACTTTATTCAATCAATCCATTTGGTGGTGTTGGCACTGTTAGTTTTGTGGTGGTTTTTCCCTCCTCCCCCCCTTTCTAGTCCAAACTGGAGAACCGGGAATACCGAGATGCTCAGGAATTTGCGGCGGACGTCCGATTGATGTTCTCCAACTGCTATAAGTACAACCCCGCTGATCATGAGGTGGTGGCCATGGCGCGGAAACTGCAGGTAAGGACGCGCGTTGTCGCTGCCTGCTTCGGTTTTCGGTCGGGGCCGACGTCTCTCTTGACGTCTTTTTCCCAGCGTAAGGGCCGTGTGGTCTTAAAAAAATGCTGATGTGGTAGAGAACGGTAAAAAAATGATCCTTTTTGCTTTGGAAGTCATGCGAGGAATGGGTTGACTCAGCCCAATTTGCTGCTTGAAACAATTATTTTATTTAATAGCGTCTGTTTTGCATCCTCTTACCTTTTTGGTAAAGGAGGAGGAAGGAAAAACGCGGCTCCACGACGTCGGTTTTCTCCCAAAAACACCTGGAGAGCAAACAAGCGACGGCACCAGCTGCGTTGGGTTGCTTCAGTTACCTCTTCCGTCCTTCCTACGGTGAAGTTCTCCGCTCTCTGCTCGTTCGGATGGGTTGGTTATTAGTTAATTAGCCGCTAAAGAAGCCCCGCGCCTCGAATGAAGTCCTTGGCCTAACGCACGCGCTCCACTGCACCAAAAAACCCTCTCGGTTCCCTCGTTCCTCAGTAATTTGGAGCTGCCACGCGGGCTCGAAGCAGGAAAAGGCGCTTTGCTGCGGGTTTTGCTGCGGGGGGAGCTGGGAGAGACGGAGCTCGTGTCGGCGCCGAAGGACCACGCGGCGGAGAAACGCGGCCAAAAAGAGCTCCGACGCTGGATTTTTTTGACCCGAGCGTTTCGACGCTCACGTGACGAACACGCCGGCGTTCCCCGTATCCGTGATTTTTGGCGCTTCCTTCACTTCAGTGTGGATTTCTCCTATTTTTGTTTTCGCCTCGGGATGATTGTGGGCGCGGTTTTTTTCTAAAGAAATCAAGCTTTCCTGCCGTACGTCGCTCGGTCGCTCCTTAGTAACTTGGCCGGGTGAAGGGAAGAGGTTTCATTTGCGTGGAAGGACGAGGCGGCGGAGCTGTGGAGGCGCGGAAGGAGAAGAAAATCGGCGTGGTTGGCTTTCACCTGCGGGGTGGAGCTGGAGAGGGGGTCGGAGTTACGCCAGCGAGCACCGGAGAGATGGGGAAAACGTTAGGCTGGAGGAGAAGGTGTTTGCTTGGGGGAAAAACTGCTAGGTTGGGGGAAAAACTATTAATTTTGGGGGAAAAAAGCTATTAATGTGAGGGGGGAAACTAATAATTTTGGGAGAAAACTTAATTTTGAGGAAAAGCTATCAGTTTGGGGAAAAAAACTTAATTTGGGAGGGGAACTATTAATTTTGGGGAAAAACTATTAATTTGGGAAAAGACCTATTAATTTGGGGGAAAAACTAGCAATTGGGGGGAACTGTTTTTTGGGAGAAGCTATTAATTTGGGGGGGAACTATTAAATTTGGGGGAAAACTATTAACTGGGGGAAAAAAACTTTTAATTTTGGGTCCCT